CCGCCCGGAGGCCACCTCTGCACCACCGCGCGCCACAAGGCGCTGGCGGCCCGAGCGAGCGGGGCCCGGACGGCGGCACGGTTGCCGCAGTCTGCGGGCCAGAGAGTACGAGGCCTCCGGGATGGGGTCGGAGGATCGCGCCGCATCGCCGATGCGTCGGGGATGCATCGGCGATGCATCGGCGATGCATCGGCAATGCACCGCCGACGTCGCATCGGGGATGCATCGGCGATGCGGCGCGATCCTCCGACCCCATCTACTCCGACCCCATCTGGGAGGCCTAGAAAGAGGTCTCGAACGTCCTGGGCTCATGGTTGGCGGCCCTGGGACGTGATCATGGGCCTGGGCCCCGGAAGCCGGAATCGGAGAGAAGTGCCAAGACTGAACGAAAGCATGTCGCCCGAGACCTGGACACGATGTACGCCACGCTGGGACCAAGGGTTGTAGGTGATGATCTCTGCCCTGCTGACGGCCAGACGTGCTAATCCGTCCAAGGCCTCGGGGAGCCAAGGCAGCATCAATCTCACGCCGTTCTGACGACCCCCATGAGCGCGGCACTGCTGAAAGGTACTGATGAGGTGGAAGAGGATCGAGAAGAACAAGGAGTGGGGGGGTCATGATGGGGGAGGAGGGGAGGAGGATGAGGAGGATGAGGAGGACGAGGAGGATGAGGAGGATGAGGAAGAGGATCCCCAGGACGCCCCTCACCCTGCGCCTGCACTGAAGCCGAATGCTTGCCGTTCTGGCTGGCTTTTTGGCCTGCGAGCAGGGGTCCTTGTTGCTCCCGTTCCCACGCCTGCAGACTCCAGCGGTATCCAATCGGCTGAGGGTCCCAAGCCGTGATGGTCCCTCACTCTGAGAAGCAGCTGGATCAGCTCGACGTCAAGGTTCGACGGGACGACCCTGGCTGGACCCACCATTGGCTGCAGGATCGGTGCGAAAAAACACACACTGTGGGAAAACAAAACACTGTGTGTGTGTGTTTGTTTTCCACTGTGTGTGTGTTGTTTTTTCCCACAGTGTGTGTGTGTGTGTGTGCGTGTGTGTGTGTGTGCGTGTATGTGTATGTGTGTGCGGTTTGTTCCCACTGTGTGTGTTTTGTTCCCCCCACACACTGTGTGTTTTGTATGCGTTGTTTCCCCACAGTGTGTGTGTGTGTCTGTGTGTCCGTGTGTCTGTGTGTCTGTGTGTCTGTGTGTCTGTGTGAGTGTGTGTCTGTGTGTCTGTGTGTCTGTGTGTCTGTGTGTCTGTGTGTCTGTGTGTCTGTGTGTCTGTGTGAGTGTGTGTCTGTGTGTCTGTGTGTCTGTGTGTCTGTGTGTCTGTGTGTCTGTGTGTCTGTGTGTCTGTGTGTCTGTGTGGGTGGGTGGGTGGGTGGGTGGGTGGGTGGGTGTGTGTGTTTTTTGATTCCCACTGTGTGTGTGTGTTTGTGTGTGTGTTTTTGTGTTGTTTCCCATGGGCGCCTGCCTGGCGACGCCGAACCCACGTCGCTACGACGTGCACGCTGGTTTCAGACACCGCGAGGACTGCTACGTCTTGAGCCCTCGCGGAATTCCCGCAGCGCCGACCGCTCGATACAGTAGGGGCTTGACCATTAGAAACCTTCCATAAGAAACCCATTCCTGGAACCCCCCTCAGACGTCCCTTGATGTTTGGTGGTATCGGAACTTCACGCTTTCCATGGTAAAACCATTGAAACCCAAGAAACACAGGGCACCGTGGAGGCAAGCAGGGTGTGTCATGGCATGGGCCCCCACTGTAGCGGCAGCTTCTGGAGCTGCTGGCGGCATCCAGCCCCCGAAAGGCCCGCGCTGGGAATCCCCGCCGCGCCGACGCGGAGCGACATCACCGAAAGTCAGGGGGGCGCACCCAACGAACGACCCTGGGCCCACTATCCGGGAGCCGTAGGGGGGGTGGGGGGCGGCAGCGGGGGAGAGGGACGTTGTTATCCTTGCTATCGATGTCGCCGTGATCGTTGCTGTCGGTGTTACCACTGTTCTCGCTGTGATCGGTATCGTTGTCCTTGTGCGCATTGTTGTCATTATCGTCGTCGTTCATCGACGTTACCCTTGTGGGCGGGGCCAGAGGGAAGGAGGATTCCAGGAAACTCGCCCTAGACGGCCCCAGGAGAAGGAAAGCCTGCGCCTCCAGCTGTGTCCCAGACCCCACCTTGGGCCACACCACCTCTCAACGAACCCCCGATACATATGAGTCAGGCCAAGATCAGCATACGTGTATCATGGGCACGCCCCGGTCCCAAATGCCCAGGCTCGCATCTCACACCAGCTCAGAGCTCTCACTACCAGCAATAACACACGGCAACCAGGCGGAGAGGGAACTACGCCTGGCCCGGCTTCGCTGGGCAAGACCAAAAAAAAACCCAAGGCACCGAGCAATTTGACAGGCGCCTGGTTGTCTCCATAATTGAGATGCCTCTCTCGCGGCGGAGAGGAGGGTCAACACGTACAGCGAGACGGGGCCATTCAAGCCACGCGGCTGACGTTTGGGCCAGCGTCGTCCACGCGCAGCTGACCGCAGCAATCCGGGCAAGCCCGTCATGCCAATCGGCATGCAACGGCAAATCTGAGCTAGAACTGCGAAGCTGCCAGCCCATTCTTGCATACTGGGTACTATAAAGTGGCCACTTGTCAGAACTCTCGAGGGAACATAGTGGTTTCACGAGCTAGTCAGAGAAACAACAAATGACTTCGGTACAGATGATATGCGCAACATACCAGTGTGCGGGCCTGAAGCCCACACCGGGATTATAGTTACATGCTCTCGTCGCCCACACCTAGGAAGACAACATACTCCAGCCCCCAGGGCACTGACGACAATCAACAACACATGTTCGAAAACATAATCTGGGTTATCGAAGACAAGACTATGCTCACACCCGTAGCGAAACACATTCGGTGGTTGAGCCCAAACACAAATGGTGGAAGAAAACGCTAGACAACTTTACAGAGCTAGGATGGGGCCCACGATCGGGGATCACGATGATAGATGCAGGGATAGAGATGGGCAGGGATAGAGGGCTAGAAAACAAAGGATCGGAATCCGCCGACCCTGTCGGCGTGTGTGAGGGGCTTCTCCGTTCGACTCGTCGTCTCCGTCGTCTCCGTTTTTCCCCTCCCAGGGCTCTCCTCCTCAAGCGCGCTATCCAAAGCGAAATTAAACGATGTCGTAGTGGAGTCGAAGGGAAGCCCCTTCCCTTTGATCCCTTCCCCGCAGGGGGGGGGGCGGCCCGGGGCAGATACGACGCCCGCCGGGGCGCACTTTCCTCGAGCGGGCACGCACGGGATGCACTTCCTCCTCCTCCTGGTCCTCCTCCTCCTCCTTTTCCTCCTCCTCCTCCTCCTCCTGCTCCTCTCCTCCTTTTCCTCCTCCTCCTCCTCCTCCTCCTCCCGCAGAGGCGTCCCGGGAGCGGGCCCCGAGTCAAAATGCCACCCCTCTGGGGCGCATTTTCCTCGAGCTGGCACGCCCGAGATGCACTTCTTCCTCTTCCGGGAGCACGTCCCAAGTCAGAATATCACACTCCCGGGGCGCACTTTCTTCGAGCGGGCACACAAAGGATGCACTTCCTCCTCCTCCTCCTCCTTCCTCCTCCTCCTCCTCCTCCTTCTCCTCCTCCTCCTCCTCCTCATCCTCCGCTTCCTCCCCCCACTCCTAGCCCTTTCGATCACGGTCGGCGGCACCGGCCGTCAGGCCTCTCCAATACAAGGATGGGGCTCGGGATGGGGATAGACTGAGGTCGGGCCAGTCTCCCCACAGGCGGATGTTGAACGATTTTTTACAAAAAAACATACTCAAAACATGCTCAAACATAGTCAAAAAAAGTCCCAATAATATGATTTGACTATGTTTGAATATTTCTCCTGCAGAGGGACACGCCCGCCTTCGGGATAGACATACAGGGTATGGGCTATCAGACAACGTCGCCCGACCGACTCTGGGTCTGGCATGCACCCACGAGTCTCTTGGGCATCACACGTGGAATCCTTACAGACAAACTGTTCGGGGAAAAACGGTATGCCTTGCTGATTGCAAGCACGTGGCCAGGCCGACTTGTTCCCATCGCACTCAAGGACCACATCCCAGAAAGAACTCCGAACACCAAGAGAAGTATCGAAACAGTGTCGAACGAGTATCGCCTCCCAGTGCCCGACACGTGAAAACTCTCCACTCTCGGTACTTTATTGATGCTCAAAATTCTTTCTGGCGGTCAAAGCCAAAGTAGATTGGAATATCATAAGATCAGGATCGGTCCGCGGAGTAAGCTCGTACCGCCGTGCAGTAGCCAGCAGCCCGCAACACTCAAACCCCAACTGCCCTCAACATCGGGCATCGAACCACCAAAGCTGAAATACCGGCATGCGCGTGCAGAAGAAGAAAGAGCGGCATAAACTCAAACTTTTGGCGCTCCGCGTGGATCTCTTGGATCTGGGCCGGACCCCCCTCCCTGGCGCGCGGATCGCGCCAAGGGCGGCGCCGGAGGCGCCGCCGGGGGGGCCCGGCGCGGATCCGAGACATCCGCTCGGAGCGCACAGAGTTCTGTTTATGCCGTTGTTTCTTCTTCTTCGAGCTCACCCATCGCTCGGAAGAAGTAGGTAGAAACATGAAGTAGGAAGGCGTTGGACGTAGATTGGGTTCCGCCCGCACCCTGAAGGAGGATGGAAAAAGCGAAGCCACGAGACCACTGAGGTAGGAAGGCGACCACAGTAGACTGGAACCTGGGACTCCAAAACCACCTACCTTCAACGACCGATGGGTACGCTTCGGTGGTCCCTATTCCTTCGCTGAGTCCCTATTCCCCAATCACGGCTTGCACTGAAGGGGTCTGAACGGAAATTGAAAGATTTGGCGAAAACGTCCCACCGATTTTGGTGGCGGGCTGGGTTCCCGGGTTCCCGGTTCTGGGTTCCCCGTACTGGCTTCCCAGTTCCCGGTCGATCTCCGCATCGATCTCTGAATCGATCCCGTTTGAAACCATCCTCTGATTGGGGGATTTCTCCGGTGTAGTTCAGTTCCCTCGCCGTCGTAATCCACACGACGGGTCCAGCTCGCGCGGGGGGCATTCAGCCGCAGCGCAAAGTGTGCGCCGAGACTCGGTCCTTTTTCGCCTCGTACGCCGGGCAGGCCGGATCTCGGGCACGGAGAGGGTAGAGGGACCCTCGGGGGGAGGAGAGAGAGAGAGAGAGGCAACGAGGGTTCTGTCGTTCCCATCGTACTTCAAAACCACATCCCAAAAATAAGCACACCAAAGAAAACCCCCAATCAATGGATGGTTTGAAATGGGATCGAACAAGAGATCGAAAAGGAAACCAACCGGGAACCCCGGAACCCGGAACCCACCGAAATCGGCCTGGAACCAATGACCAGGAACCCGGGAACCCAAAACCCAGAACCCGGGAACCCAGCCGGCCACCAAAATCGGCGGGGCACTCTCGCGAAACCTGTCAATCTCCGCTAGGACCGCTTCAGTGCAAGCACTGATTTTACCAGCCTCGAACATATCCCTATCCCTAAGATTGACATGCCATACAGCGATGACAATCTTAGGGATGCGCCTTCAAAAAATAAGGGAATCCCTAAGATTGGCATCGTGATGAGGAGATGCCCAGCATAGGGATCGGGATATGTTCTGGGCTGGTAATGATTGGGGAACCCCATCCCAAAAACAATTTCGAGCGGCCCGAGAGGTATCGAGTCGAGCCACTGCCTGCCCGGCACAATGGCGAAGTGCCGGGCGAATATACCACCTCCCGGGGCCCGACGAGTGGAAACCGTCAAGGTTCGACACTGCCTCTGCATTGCATCCTCGGGGGACCTCGTCTGTCCCGTCGCGACCTTATCCGCGTCGAATCCGTGTCGAATCCATGTCGGCCTCGTCGAATCCGTGTCGAATCCGTGTCGAATCCGCGTCGAATGCCCGCCAAATCCGCATCGAGGCCGCATCGAGCCCGCGCAAGGCACAAAAAAACACCAATCCTGGGGACAGGCGGGGTCCACCGAAGATGCAAAGTAACTGCCTTGGTGCTCGAACGTCGTTCTGGTGATGCAGGCCAGGAGCAGGCCGAAACATCCGAGAACGAGGGGCAGAAGCAAGGGCAGGAAGACGAGCACGAGGAGCTAGAGAAGAGCGACAAAGAAGACTCGGAATCACCTTCGCGAACAACAACAAAGAGCAACAAAGAAGAGCAAACAAAGAAGTCCCGCGCGAGTGTCTTGCGTCAGCGCTCGAACCTCCTCCCCTGACGCGCGGAGCGCGCCGTGGGCGGCGCCGAATGCGCCGAAGTTGGCCCCAGCGCTGACTCGGGAAAGCCGCGCGGGCCTCTGAGAATGCACCGCGGTGCTGTTGCTGCTGTGCTTCGAGGTTCGGGAGAAGAAAAGGATCAGTCGGCGAGTAGACGTCGAATCGAATCGGCGGCGACAAAATGCACAACCGCGCCATGCAGGCATCGGGGCGCAACGGATCGTCGGAATCGAACTGGGTCACGCCAGCCGAAGCCGATGCCGAATCGGATCGATCGAATCGCAGGTGGGCGCTGGAAGGGGAGCGAGGTCGGGGCAGAACCCCCTTGGCGGCGGCCCCAACACCGCGCGATGTCTCCAACACCGCGCCGGGGGTGGGATCCAGTTCAGATCCAAGAAATCCGCGCGGACCTCCGATAGTTTACGTTTGCGGTCAGGACGTTGTACTTAGCCTGTCACGGCGGTGACCCCTGCGAAACGGTGTTCCTTGTGAGGAGATGCCGTGAGCGGCCAAGAGGGGGGTGTCCAAGTTGGGGGAGGCGCAAATCATGGCCGGCGGCATATGCGCGACCCACGGGGGGACCAGCGAGTTTGAAGGGGGCAGGCAGGCCCGTCCAGAAGCTACGCCTCAGGCGAAGCACAGCTCCAGCTCTGTTGTATCGTAGCAACGATAGTCCCAGTCGGAAGAGGTCGTCGCGGGAGCGACGGGCCATCTCAACCGAAGGATGTTTTCGGTCTCGATGGCGAGAAGTATGCCTCGCAATGGGGCGCAGTCAAATATCAGCGGCCAGCCGCTTGAGCACAAACGGACGCGGACGAACGCTCGCTCTCGCCCGTCCCAGCTTACTTTAGAGTCGGGGGGGAAGGACGCGAAGCGTGAGTCCGCCGCCACTATATAGCGGATACGATGCACAAACGGCAGCAAAAGGCCGGGCCGTAAGGAAGGTGGACCCGCAAGCAAGTTGCCTTGCAAGCACTTGCTGTGCATGCGATGACTCCTCAGGCGGCCACAGACCAAAATGTCTGGCCATCCCGATAAGGAGCATGACGCTTTAAGTCGTGCTTGAAGGAATGCGTAGCTGCACGATTGCTCGCTCCATCATCTGTCGTATCCAACTGATGTGTCCAAAAAAGAATACACTCAGTCAGCTGTTTCAGGTCTTTGCATGACAAAGACTTGAAAACCTATTCCGCATCTATGGTCAAAGTGACCTTCATGTTCAGGCCACCCATCTCAAGTGTACCTTTTCAACTGAATGGGGGTCAGAGACCTTCATGGAGCTCGCGCGGAGTCACGATCGCGGGATAGCAGTCCTCCAAGTTGTTGGCTGCTGGAGGTCTCTGCTGAATAGCTTGAGCGGACTTGCAAGCGGCGAGACTTGCAGTGCGCATCCATCAAGTGGACGACCGGCTTACCGGATGGCGCGGTTCCACGCCGTAGCAGGTTTGCCCCGCGAATTCCGTAGCCTCTGCCTTCGACATCGGCATCTCCACACAGGCGTCGAAAGCCGGAGTCGCTGTGCAGGTCAAGTTCGCCCGTTGGAGTCATCGATGGGTAGATGCATTTCTGGGGGAAGGCCTGCAGCTCCCCGGTAATCGCGCCCAGTCGTCGCACTCGTATATCGTTCGGATCTTAGACACGTTGTAGAGAGACCACACATACTATCAACCACGCCTGCGTGATTAATGCGTAAAACCAATGCGCCCCTGAGGCCGACGAACATGTCCGCAGCCATCTTGGATGCTTTGGCGTCAGCATCTGCGCCAGTGAGTTCAAGATGTTGTAATCGGACGGGGTTGTTTGATGCATGCATCTTGGTCCAATGTGACTTTGCCGCCCCACTCCTTCGTGCACCTCGCAGCACAATTGGCACGCGTATGTTCGTTGAGTTCGCACTTGCCAAAAGTGCCCTCGACGCACTTGACGCGCGTGTCAACGGTGTCTTCAGTACCGGCCATATGAATACCATCAAAATGTTTGGCTGTGGGCAGGTCACTGCTCGTCTCGAACTCCTCGTCGTAGGACGCGGGTCTGAGACCAAAGCCTTTCGTGGTCCAACTGGATTTCAACGAAGGGGCTCTGGGTGCACCACTGGTGCCGGTGCCTGGCTTGAGGCGCTGCAGACAGCGCTTCGACTCGTCGTAGTGCTCGAATCCTGGGAGGGATCGAAGCACCGTTGCCTATCAAAGCGGCAAGGTAAAGCACGCCACGCGTTCCTGCTCACCAGTTGCCTCAGCAAGTTCCCGGCAGGAAAGCCATGTTGATGTCAAGGGAAGCGATGACCAATTGCTTCTTGCACGCTGCCGTGCTTGCGAGTACTCTCCAGTTTGACCGCCGCGCTGCCCCCGAAAAGGCTTCCACGTCAAAAGCTTCGAGGCCCACGAAAACCCGAAGCACCAGGAGCAATGCGATGGCATGTTCCATCTTGCCCGTTTCGTTCTTCACGAACTTATACTCATATACGTGCCTCGAAGTTGCTGTCAAACCATGTCTTGAGTTTAGTATATAGGACTTTGATACTTTCTCGGGATTCGCCTGGACGTCGGCCTTCGCGAGAAGGTCGCCCCCCTTCTCGTTCTACAGCGGCGGCGACATATACTCGCATGACGGTCACAATGACAAGGTCGACGTCTGATATCCTGTGCTGTTGTTCGGATAGGACTACCTTTGGCATTTCTGCCGCGAAGCAGAGTTCTACATATTGACAATTTTCGTCCGAGTCCAATCCGTAACTGTGGTCTTCGACCGTAGAGCAGAATGGGACATCATACGTCTCCTCGATGTCGGAATCGCGTGGATAACCCCACTTAGGCAGGTGCCCCCGTTGTTCTTCATCCACGGTGACCAGCGCACTGATATGGGTGACCATATGTGTGGGCGCAGTGTAAAATCATCGAATGGAGCTGCCTCCAATAGCTCCCTATCCTAATGTAACTCTGCGCGCCACACTTCCATGATATGTGACTCAAGGTCCGCTTCTGATTCCTCATATATCGAAGGAAGCCGTCCATCCTCCTGTGGAGGTTCGGCTTCTGGGGCTTCTCTGGCGCGTTCGTCTTGCGTCGGCATGTCCGCAAGTTCCTCAAATGTTGTCACAAATTGGTCAAAGCTTGTTTGAGGTTTAGTGGATCTTCAGCACAGAATGATTCCCGAATGTGCTGATCCAGTTGAATCATGAATATCCAGGGCAGTGCCTTCTGCTTCATAGCAATGGAAGCCTGGATTGACATCATTGCCATAATGAACCAATGTACAGTCTGTCAGCGCAAGCCACCGGAGGTAGCTTATGGATCCCCATAGCTAACCGAACAGAGACTACATTCCCGACGCGGAAGAACTCCCTGATGAGGTATGGTAGCGCCAGATGTACTTTGAAAGATAATCGGCGTGCGCTGGTCATCTGAAGCGTCCCCTTTTTGGTCGGGGCATAGCCAAATGTCATAGCAGGTCCCCCAGCTGGTAGACTGGCAACAAATGTCAACACTGTCCACAACGCAGCGTCGTCAGAGCCACTCTCTGGCTATCAAAACTTCGATGTAAATTGAATGTTGTGCGTCGCCATATGGGACTTGTACATCGCGATTTTCCAATCGAATGATGACTTGACCCCTGTCGGATGATTTCGTGCACCTGGGAACGGGCCACTCCAGCCTCCCCAGTCGTCCTTCGCAAGTGTGGGCCGATGGTAATCTACCAGATCTCCTTCATCAGAATAATGCTGACCAGTGATAGTTGTCTTAGTTAAGTGCGCGATTGGCCTTGGCTACTGCAGTAGCCTGTACGATATCTTCACTGCATGCCCTGCGTATCACCTGCTCTCGAATGGTCAGACGTTTCTGTTGGCTGTTCATGATGCAGCACAGGCAGGTCAGGAAGCATTGCCGGTTGCCGCCCAAACAAAGCATCATATGGAGACACCTCACTATAGAAGGTAAATGCAAAGGCGGCAAAAAGAGGCTTCGCGCAGTAGTCGTGCGAACACACCTTTTGAGTCCAGTTTCCATGACATGCAATAGGTGCCGTAATCTGCCACTTCTGGCTTCAATTGTCGTAGCGCGTTGTCCACTCGCGCGCATCCTCAGCTCAGCGCCTCTTGTCTTAAGGACTGCCCTTGCAGTATCGTTATTAAGGGCACCCTTCTGTCAGAGTAGAGTACCCTGGTAGGTCCGAACTGTATCCAGCACTGATGATACGCATCTCAGATACGGTCACTGTTGTATCTGGCACTTCCATTTCAATAGCACACCGAATGCAACGAACGATGCTGCGAAATATATTGTGTTCCTGGTTGCAGAACATAATGCCGCATTCGACTTCTCCATCAAACTTGTCAAGTAGCGCAGTAGATGGCACAACGCATACCCTGGCTTGTCCCAAGCCCTGCACCCCCGACGCGCGTCGCAGACGCCTTTGATCAGTTTGAGCCTGACGCAGCTTACACCAGCCGTGGTTAATACGAGTCTCATCTTAGGCTCTTTAGCATCGCAAGTGTAGTTTCCTCAACTCGCGTGCTACCACGCTTGGGTCAAGGTTTCGTAAGTTTTGCAAGCTGATTTGAACATCGAACCTCAACCAGGTCTGGGAGTCGTGGGCGCGCAGCAAAGTTACCCGCAAGTTGTGGTGGAGGTGGATATCCTCCCTGCTGTCGGCCACGTCTGGCTCTGATCTGCGGCAGTCGTCGGTGGTCGTCCGAGCAACCAGCTCCGCTCGAAGCAGGTTGCCGCGCAGCAGGTTCAGCAGCATATCTGCCTACTGTAATGTCGTGGCTGCTGGCGCCAGCTGTGGGGCAAGCCCTGGAGCCGGGTCTCGGTGCTAGTCGCCGCACAAGTGGTGGTGCGGCTTGTGCCTCGGGTGGTGGTGCTGCCAGGTTCGGCAGGAACCTGTGGTGCCTGTCCGTGGTTGTCGGGCAATTTCCAAGGTTTGGCAAACTTGCATGTGCCGGGCGTCCGTTAATGGCCAAGCCGATTATGGCCGTGGTTCTTTTTGCAACTCGGACACTCCGAATGGCAATCCCGCTTATCGTAGCACCTGCAACGTTTAGGGCATCTGTCAGGTGTGGGGAGCGCACATTTACATTATCTCCGCATGCAGGACATCCTAATCCTCCCGAGGGTGGTCTCGTGATCGACCCGTCGGTTTGTCGCGAGATAGACGGGTCGACGACATCCAGCCCCCGCGCGTTGGTAACAAAGACGGTGGAAGAATAAGGGTGACCATGAAAAGGAACACGGTTTACCTGGAACAGATCGCGCGTATTCATTGCATACCGGGGCATACCGGGCAAGTTCTTTATTGCATACCGGGGCATGTTGGCGATGGCCAGCACACCGCTTTCGTTCACAAGGTATAAATAGAAGACGATAGTTGGCCATTATCTCTGTCGGTTTTTGTATCAATACCCCATGGGGGTCACGTAGACCAGTGGCACATGGATCCAGGAATTAC